CATCTTCTACAAACGAGATATTATCTGACTCAGGCTTAAATAGAATAAGATTCTGTAAGTTCAGTATTATTTTGCAATATTATCCCTAAAAAACAATACCGTATTTTTGCAAAATAACGCCCCTGCGCGTTATTTCGCGAAAATACGGTTATAGTACATACCTCTTGATATTTAATCATTTCATCTTTTGTGATAGCAGATGCATAATAATTTAGACAACTTTTAATTTCAGCACGCTGAATTTTTTGTATTTCAGGTGTAATAAACCAACTCAAAGCTTTATCGAGTTCGGAAAATAATGTTTGTGGTAATATAGCGGCAGACGATGTTAATAGAATTTGTGTCTTCTAATAAGCATACTTTGCTTTTTTAATCTCCTCTTTTATACTTGCTTCCAAGGCTTCAGCAAGTTCGAGTAGGCTAATATTAGAGTTTAAAACCAGCCTTTTGACCTGAGCATTGTAACTCTCAACGCGAGACATTGATTGTATGCCGGTGGTAAATATCTTTGTGGTGTAAGCACATACCCATGCTTTTTTTGAAGAATTTAATGTTTTTAGATACTTTACAACTCTAGGCTCATTATATTTCTTAATTAACTGTTTCCATTTTTGTTTAAAAACTTCCGGAACAAGAGAATTTCTAGCAGTGTAAAAATCTTGAACAAACTCCTGATACTGTTGACCCAACTTAGCCTCAAGATTTCAAGGAAGGTTTTGTAATATATGGAATATACAATGCATGGCATAAGATTGTTCATACTCCTCGAAGATTGCAAGATCCAAAGCCAGATCAGCATCGGTCATAATAATAGCAGGTACATAGCCTCCAGTGGCCTGTTTTGTCTGATATAAAACCCACCGATACAAATCTGCTGACTCATCGTTCATAAGTGCACATCCAACTAGTCAGAAAGACCCGTGATTGTCAACACATAAGAAAAGTGAGTGGGCCATATCATATCAGTTTGTTTTTGCAGTATTATCGCTAAGTATAATATCACAATACTCTATCCAAAGAATGATCTGATCGGGAGACATCCAAAATAGCTTTTGAAGGCTATGTGATTCTCGGTCCCACTCAATTGCAACATACCATCGAGAATCTTCATTTTTTCTTCTTACTAATTCTTCGTACAATGATGCAGCATCATTTAACATATCCTTTCATTTCCCATTATAATATTTTGCTGTTGCTTTATGAATTTCAGAAAGGTAAACTTCGTGGTCAGAAAATTCTTTTCATAAAGCCCTCTAAATTTGTAGTGGCTTTAACTTAACAGTATTTACATAAAATTCTACCCTATCATATATTTCTTGGGTAAGTTCACTATCATTAAAAAATTTTGTTCTATAAGAGGACAAGTATAATTATGGCTATTGTCTAAAGTGGTAATATAAACATTTCTATTAGAATTATTCTTCTGCGGTTGTGACAAATTTACATGCCACGGACATTTGATATATTTTGTGCTTGTTTCTTTAGTCAATTGCATGTTTTT